GGGTATTTTATATTTAATGTTATTGCTTTTCAGGTGAACATTATACAACAGATTTATACACTTAACCTTGTAAGTGTGGTATTTTTTCCTGTTGGCATGTTGGTGACAGGCGAGGTGAACCATTTCCTGGACAAGGGACTAACAGAGGGCTGGTTTTATGTGCTGGTTATTGCCTTTTTCYTGGTAAGTGCAGCTATTTTGACAGGAATTAGAAAAAAAATTCAATTTCACATGGGAAGTGTTTAGTACATTTTTCTTCTTGCTTTGTTGGACAAAGCGTTCCTRCACTCAAATGGTTATTTTACACTCACTGAATAGAGCTGCAAATGATTTTTACTTTTGTCTTTTTGGCTATTGACTATTGAAAAGCTGCAAATGGTTAATATTGATGTATTTGCAGGCAATTCTTAGAGTGATGGATCAAGCAAGCTGTCTCCATCAAATSAAACATACCTCAATCCTTGTTCACAATGCTACAAGAGGTATTGCATGGATACCTATCACATTGATAAGTGTTTTCACCTTAAAGTTGGAACTTATGATTGCTTCATTTGTTTGTTTCTGGTTAAATATTGTGRTTTTCTTGGCTATTATGTTTGATCATCTGGTAAATGTCAACTCATAAAAACGGATGCCCCATTCACAGCAAAATGATTGGCTAAGCTTAGTTTCTATTGAGATTATTCAATAAGTATTTATTTATTGGAAACTGSTGAAGATTAATGTCAATATAATTGATTGATTTAAACTGTGGTCAGGTTCAGCAAATATTTTTTACTCAAACTTTGTACTGTTATGCTCACTGTGAATGGGGTATTAATTAAGRGATACATATTTTGTCCTTGAATGTTGAAAAGATCTCTCATGAGCTACTCGTAGAAAAGGAGTGAGAGATTTTAACAAGAAAAGATARATCTTCATCTCTAGGCAACCATGTAATATTCTGTTAATCATCATAATTATCAATGAAAACCAMCAGTGTATAAGATAACATGAATGGAACAACGTTCCCATGATAAAGATTGATATTTAAATGATAGAMCAATATCATGCTAATAAAATACAATTCTAAAAGATTTCTTATTTAATGATTATTTTTGTCGATTTGATTGTGAGYTATTAATTGTATAAAATAACTAAAKAGAAATCTATGTCATTTATCTCAAAATGCATAACATTTACAGTAGCCATTACATGCTTGTGAATGAAAACGAAGCTGGCCAATCATTCATATATTCTTTAGTTTTCTTGTAAAAAATGACCATTTGTAAAAGTTCATATTATATCTTCATCAGTTTTTGAGCTACATGTATCCCCGGGGGTGGGGGACTCCCTAATATCGAAGGGCGGGGGTCCTCGGCGGAGATTGTGAAAATGACCCTTAAAAGGGACCTCTATTGTGAGATGATGGGCGTGGCAGTGCTGAAATTTCAACCCTAAAAGGGACCAATCAATAACAGGTCATTTTGTTTTGGTTTACTGATTTTATTTGTGTTTTTACACAATCATCGAACACCGTCGGCTCGTATTGA